GCCCGATTTAGGGCCAGTTCATTAGTTTTCAACCCGAGTTTTGGTTGGTTTATTGGTTTCATCGTGGAATAAATGCGGTCTAGTGTTTTTAGCCCGGTTTAGTGTCTATTCAATGGTTCTGGTCAGTTTGGTTGGCTAATTTAGTGATTTCTAGACTAGTTAGTGCCAATTTAGTAGTTTTTAGTGGTGCAATTCTTGCAATTTTCATCTTAATTTAGTACTTCTTTTTGTGTTACTTAGCATCAGATTCACTCCAATTCTTGTTGGTTTACCCTATTTTCGTTTCTTGTGGTTGAATTTGATTTTTTCCAGCAGTTTATTGTAGTGTTGTTGGTTATGTTGGTTTGTATAGGTATTATTATTGTTCAGCTAATGTCTTCGACTTCAATTGGGCAACCAGGTTTATTTCTCATGGGGAATACCGTGGTAGTGCATGTTAATTAAAAAAGTCTGTATGTTCTGAAGTAGTCATCTACAACTTGGATTTATTATAGTTATTGTTTACGTGGTGATATTGCTACTCCGTTTGTAAGGTCTGGTGACCAACTCGGTGTTATCCTTGCCAAACAACTGGCACGGTCCACCTTTAGTAGCCTTTGTTGCAAGTTGGACATTTTTTATCTCTCTGCTCTTGCTTGAAGGGGAATGTTAGAGGATTACATTCCTATAGTTATATGAATCTATTATGTTACTTTTCTATTGTTCTATTTTCCTATTATATCAATATCAATCTGATACAAATAGGTCAACTGTGCAGGCAGCACAAACCATTGTTTCATAATCTCTTCCTTCATCTCTTCTTCCTCTTCCTCTTCTTCTTATTCTTATTTTTCTTCTCTTTCTTTCCTTAAATCCTAATATTCAACTTTAAAAGACTAATACACGGCTGAAGGTGAGACTGTAACTTGAAGGCGAGTTTGTATCCAGCCCTCCTTTCCCAGGAACTACAAATGGTTGAACAACCACTTGCTCTAACCACTAGTTATATCAAGTTAAAATAATACATGTGAATTGTTGCACATAATTTACCAGGAGTGAAGCTTATCTTGGTTTTCCTGTTTCTATCCTCCTTTCTGTTCTCAATATTCCCTTTATCACCAGGACACTGGTCATAGAGGGTTCAGGATCAGTGCTTCATTATTTTACTCTTCAATATGTTTGGTGTTCATCAGTGCTCTTACACCTTTTATTTGTTTTTGTTCGATGTGGACACAGCAACATCTATTGAATCCTTCAGTGGAGTTGCATATTACTTTAAGCAGTTGGATTGTTCCCAGAACTTCTTGTTAGTGCCTTTACACTTCACGAATTGTTGTGTCCTTTGCAAGAATTACCAAGATGATGTTAAGTTTGGAAATCTTTGTTTAGAAATAGTTTGTCGAAAGTGAATTATGAAAAAAATAAAATCTCTTAATTTGCTTCCTTATTTTTAGAGTGAACGTAGTGTCCTTAATTCAGTCTCCAATTGTACAATAAAGCTGAAGAAGAATTGCTCTAGCCCTGGGTCTGATGAATGAATTTGAATCTGCTGGATCAATGTCATCTATACTATAACAAATGGTTTGAATAAATTTTGGTAGATAGGAACACATCTCAAATCTTTTCAGAAATAGAGATGCTGAAATGAAGAAGTTTACTATGAGAAGATACTTGGTTTTATGTAATGGTGAAAGAAAATACTTCCAAAATTAAGGTCGTCGAGAGAAGGTACTTTTGCCCTTTCACTTTGCACCATATCTTATGATACTTATCTTACCATACGTTTTGATACAATAAAAAAACGAGAATATCAAAATGACCTCGTTTCACAAGGCTTTTTCTACCTAAACAATGAAACAACGTTGTTTCCCCAATTTGTCATTTTTATTTTTTGGTTTGACCTCAAACAAACGAAGTTCTCGATCATCTTCTTCTCCCAAGTCCTTCTTTTTGTTTCTTCTGCATATTATTCTTCTTCTCATTCAAGCAAATGAAACCTATCTACATTTAAATCGTTGTTGTGAAGACAACGATTGTTCCTTTTTTGATCTCTATTGGACACACGAAATGATAAGTGAATTTAATAGGTCAAAAAGAAAAAATTTGTTGCCCTTGATTTCTTAACATGAAAATGATTTTTATTACCTCTTAGTCCTTAATATAGATTGATGATTATTTAATAAATGGGTAGTGTTTCTTTTTTCAGCTTTTCTTGAGACCTAGTTCAGTTTGGAATTCTATGCTCTAGTTTATCCTAATTGTTAAATGATTTTAGGATAAATGGTATGATTTCAACACAGAGAACTGACTCACGATTTGTTTAGAGATAGATACCATACCAAGCACAAAGGGGATGCTAACATAGTAGCATTGAACTTGTTGGAATCATAGAGTATAGACTAATTTCTTTACTCTTTGGAGCTGCACTCTGTTTGGGATGGAAACACAACCATATTGTTTCCTTCAGCAGCAGATATTCTAATTCATAGATTTTTATTTTTCATTAATTTTCCAAAACTTAGGAAAATTTTGAATGAAAAGCATCTTTTAAAAATGCCTTTTAATTTGTATTATCCATAAACATCTAGGGAATTTGGCTTCCAGGTGAAGCATAAAAGACTAACACTCTGACATGAAAGTGGTTGAGCATGAGATTCTAAATGTCTATAATCTCTTTCCTACTCTCTCTCTCTCACTCTCATGCACACACACACACAGGCCAGCACTTCCTGAGGATCCTCATTTCTATAGTGCACTAGTAGTTCCTAAGTCATGGCATCATATATGCCACAGTCACTTTTATTTCCTTTCTCTATATTTTATACTGATTTCATTTTCTTTTGTTTTGCTATTTGTTTGACATGTACACTATTGAACACCTGGTTTTCTTTTACAGTTGTGAATTTAACCGTCATAGATCTCCCTGGATTGACAAAGGTTGCTGTAGGTGAGCATCAAAATATTAGTTTGTTATAGGTATAATTCAAGACAGTGTTAAGAATGACTGATATCAGATTACTTAACGACAGTTTCAATTTTGCAGAGGGACAGTCGGAGAGTATAGTTGAAGATATTGAAATGATGGTCCGGTCTTATGTTGAGAAGGTAAGGTGACCGTGTTATAGCGGCAACCAAGGATCAAAATGTCATGTCGACACGTCCGAAATGTTTCGGAATTTCAACACTCCGAAATGTTTCGGAATTTCAACACTCCGAAACGAAACAGTGGTTGAATCACAAAATTCCAGTGTTTCGGTCGAAACGGCACTGTTTCGGACCGTTTCGGTCGAAACAGTACCGTTTCAACAAAACAGTGATATATTCGGTTCACTCAACTTTAATTACATTTAATTCCCCATTGCTCTTCTGTCTTTTATAATTTTTTTGTTATAAGAATGAATAATTACACTTAATACCCTACTGTAATTATATTTAATACTCACTGTAATTATATTTAATACTTACTGTAATTACATTTAACACCCCACTGTTGTGCAAGTCTTCTGTTTTTTTTTTTTGTTATAAGTATTAACAATTACATTTAATACCCTAATATAATTATATTTAATACTCATTGTAATTACATTTAATTTTTAAGTATACATAAGTACCATTAATTTAATTTGATACCCTTCATTATCAGTATTATAATAAAATAGTATTATTAATTGGATAATATTTTAATTTAAAAGTGTTATACATGTCATATTTAATTTGTAGAATGAATATAATGTGTTTGATAATGCAATGACATTTATTATAAATATGACATTTTTATGTAAAAATGTGTTTATTTGATAAAAATTAAGTGTTTGAAACTAATTTAAGTGATTTTCGTCTCATGTCAAACCTTTTTTTCCCTCCAATTTAAAGTTATTCTTGTATAAATGAATGTTAGCCCAATAAATATGTTCAATTAATCAATTATTTAGCTTATCTTTATAAATTAATGGATTGTATTTGTGTTTCCATGCGTTTCCATATTTTTTCTGCGTTTCCAAAACGTTTCCGTTTTTGAGCCGACCGAAACGGTGCTTCGAAACGAAATTTCGATCCTTGGCGGCAACACCTAATTGCTTCAGTTACTTTCTGTTTTTTAAATCCAGGATCTGCCCAGTCATTGACTAGGAAGTCTAAATAAGTTGCATGTGAAATTATTCTCATCAGGAACTCATAAGATCCACCATTTACTATTCATCCAAGCAAGTTAGTGAATGTATTTTCCTGGAATATATCAAATGTGGCACCTCTGAGGATAGGAAAATATAGAAATGATTGAAGGAATATTTCATGGTTTTATATCAATCAGATATCTCCTTTTCACTTTTGAGATTTAAAGAAGTTGGGATTAAGGGTTCATTGAGTTGAATAGATTTTTGCAGTACCTCATTAGCATGCACAAGGCTGGCAGATAGAGAGAGGCACGAGCAAGTTCTTCAGAATCCAATTGCAAAGGCTGTTTGGTGGAGAATTGTTCATTTATGTGGATTATCTTTTCGCACATCGATAACGATTGATGAAAACAAGTATACTGTTATTTAGGGAAAATAAAAGTTTCTGTGCAGTTGCTGCACGTGTAGGAGATGAAATTCAGTTAAAATTATGGATACGGTATTTTACACCCCCCCCCCCGGTGTACCTCAAACTCAGAATGGATCCTATATCAGAGGTAAGTTTGTGAAGCTTCTGAGTTTAGATAAGTAATCAACTTTATGGATACGATATTTTACACTCCCCGTGGCTTTTGTGCTTCAGACTCGTAATGGATCCAATATTGGAAGTCAGTCCAGAACAGGGGCAAAGCCACTCAGTGCATTGTGGGAGCAACTGCCCCCACTCAATCTTTGTTTGCAAACAAATTTCTATACATGGTTTGATGTATTTTAAAATTTGCCCACTCAAAACAAATAAAATCTCATGCATCTTAATCCAATTAATCATCTCTCACGTTTGGATTAAATTTCTACTCTTAATCTCATAAATTTTTATAATTCGTTTTTTGAATCCCCTCGACATGTTTTTGAAAAACCATTCCAAAGCTTTGTGTTCCCTCTCTCTCTCTCTCTCTCTCTCTCTTTATATTTTGTTCCGTCTCTCGCGCTCTCTCACTATTGTTAATTTGAATGTATTGGGAAAACATCATTAATAATATTGTAATGAGATTATTATACAATGTTTTCGAATTATAAAAACTACTCAGGAACATTGTAAATGTGCTGAATATTACTGATCAATATTAAGGTTTTGCATTCATTATTAGTTCAATCTTTTTATTGTGTTATTGCTTAAATTTTCCCCCACTACGGTAAGTTTCTGGCTCTGCCCCTGGTCCAGAAGATTAAAATAACTTTGTGAAGCTTGTGAGATTTAGATAATCAATAAACAAGTTGAAGCACTTTAGTGAAGTTAGGTAGTGTAAGCACTCAAAATGATCCATCAAATGACAAATGGAATTTCAATAACACTAGAATTATCTCCGTAGGGACCCTATTGGGTGTTGAGCAATATGTTGTTGATCGAAGTATTGTTGACAATTTATGAATATCAGTAATGTACAGCAGAATCTCTTTGGCCAACTATAGCAGCAGTCATGACTTCTTGGTTGAGTCTTGGGTTTAGCATCAGGCTAGTTCTTTTACCTCCATCCTTGTGTATAGCCTTAATTTTCTTATCATATAACTTTTGAGGTGAACAATTTAAAATTCATATTGCACTTATGATGCAAGTATGAAGAACCATTACCCATATTCAGTTATGACAAACTTGGATAGTCAGGAATTAAGGGGCCACTCCTTACTTCAGTGGTAAAGTTTGTGGGCAATCAACCGTGACAATGCATTTCGTGTATGAAAGCAAAACTAGTCTCTGCAAATATAAGGAATGTTAGATCTTCCATCAGTCTGCTTCTCCTTGAAGATTGCGTGAGTGCGGCTGTACTGACTAGTGAGTGATGGGCTCTTAGAAAGCCATATAGTTTAAGATCACTTTTAAGCAAGATGATGCATAGGCTTGTGCCATGAGCACCAGTTTCACTAGTCTCAAATTTTTTGAACATTAAGCTAATACCAACTCTATCCGCTTTGTGGCCATCAAAATCATTGTTTAAGAAATTCTTTGCATAATCTGATCGTTGAGGCCATCTGATGGAACATTCTTATTTTTTTAGCCCAATTCCATCATATTGGCAATTTCTCCTGCCAATCAAGATATTGCTACTTCTGACGCAATAAAGCTTGCCAAAGAAGTTGATCCTACAGGTATTGTTTAGTTGGTGCAGTACTTCGCTCAGTTTCTTTGTTCTCCCAATGAGTTGTTTTCAATTGGATTTCTTGTTTGCTATGCGAGATATTTTTTGCTAATAATATTTGCTATTCAGGTGAGAGAACATTTGGAGTGCTAACAAAACTTGATCTGATGGACAAGGGAACCAATGCCCTAGATGTATGGGTTCTGTATTTATAATTGGTCAAACAATACACCTTACTTGCAATTGTAGAATCCTGACAACATAGTTGTTCTTGTCTTTCGGTTTGTACCTTACAAACCTTATTATCTGGTGTTTCCTTTGTTTATCCTCAGTTCTATCATGTTTAAGGTACTCGAGGGAAGAGCATACAGACTCCAACATCCCTGGGTTGGAATTGTGAATCGTTCACAAGCTGATATAAACAAGAATGTTGACATGATAGTGGCCCGTCGAAAGGAGCAGGAATATTTTGATTCCAGCCCAGAATATGGACATTTGACGCATAAAATGGGCTCAGAGTATCTTGCAAAACTTCTATCAAAGGTTTTTCTTTCCTCCTCAGATATTTGCTTGTGGTTGTCCTCCTTACATTATGAACTACAGACCAAACTTACATTGAGTTTTTTTACTCCGAGTATAAATCAGCACTTGGAGACTGTTATCAGGCAGCGCATCCCAAGCATTATTGCTTTAATAAATAAGACGATTGATGAGCTTAACGCAGAATTGGACCGTATTGGCAGGCCTATATCCTTGGATGGAGGGGTAATTGACGGAATCTATTTAAAAACATTATTTTTTGGTTGTAAATGAGAATGTTTGCAGCCTTGAGTTAATTTCTTGAAGTATTTTATCTGTATATACAGGCCCAGCTGTACACAATTTTGGAAATGTGTCGTGCGTTTGACCGTATATTTAAGGAGCACTTGGATGGAGGGTAGTGCTAAATATTTTGTTTATGGCATTCATTAGAAGTTTTTAAAATCATAGAATTCTATACTTGACATGTGTTATTCGTTGTTGACGAACTTAGTGATTATTTGTTACCAGATCTGCATGTGGAGAGGCTATGAAATATTGTAACAAAGAGAAAGTTACTGAAGCTAATTATCCAAAGAATAGAGTTCATCTCCCCATCCCTATGCAAAAGATAAATAAATTTTTGTATTCACACATTGTTGCGGTAAATAATGCCATTGCTGCAAGAATAATTGGCAAAGTTTTAAAGAATAGTAAATAAGCTGTACGTTGGAATAATTATGAAAATATGGAAAGTTCCCACATTTTTGTTACACCAATAGTATATAACTTGAATCTCAAAATAGTATATAACTTGTTAACATGGATAGCCTATCCTTGAGAGGCCACAGGTGGGGGCAGGGGGTTTTGAATTATTTTGTACATCTCTAATAGCATACACTTCTAGACCGATCTATTATGAATAAAGGATGCTAGTGATTGGATGTATTTGAGTAACGAAAAATCATGTTCCTTGAATGTAATGCCTTAAACCCACTGTCAAGATATTGTCCACTTTGCCCATATGCTATTTGTTTTAAAATGCATCCTTACATGGTAAGGATTAAAGTCTAGATATAACGCACCCTGTCAAATTTTGGATAAAGAGATTGAGAGAGAAAATGGAAGAGAAAGAATCACAACCATAAAATGTCGTTCGTTCCAGATCTACATCCACAACAAACAAAATCCCCAACAGCTACATTTTTATTATTCTCACTTAATTGAATACATAAGTCACCTATATTTACCAAGTAACAAAAACATAAGACAAGGAAATAATCTGTCAATTATTTGTGATTGATTGAGAAAATCATGGAATCAACATGTGAGTTGCCTGTCAATAATCAAGAGTCAACCATTCTGCCAAGCATTTGATTTGATTGTGTTGACCCATCAATCATGGGATATTAGACACTCCTCCTCAAGTTGACACACTAAAAAGTTGAGTTGAAGTGGCCAACTTGGACTGAAAGAATGGACTGCGGTTGTTATGTCTGTGACATTGTTGAAGTTTCTGGGAATAGGACTTAGTTGAATGTCCTGAAAAATGCATCTTTGTTGATAAAGTCCTTTGAATGACATGCAGGGGGGGCGGGTGAATTTGAATGGAAAGACCTACCGTGCCAATACGTTGAGGGGACAATATGGACCCATCATGCAAACACACAAAAGATGCACAAAATGGACACCACACAAATACACAGAAAAAAGATTTTGGAATGAGAATCGTGCAGTTACGAGGAAAAATGTGAATGAAATTAACATCCTTCAAATACGAAGCAAAAACGAAAGCAAGCAAGGTTGAATTGATCCGCTCAGATAGAATGTCAAATTTTTTAGATAAAGATAATCAAGAGAGAAAATGAAAGAGAAAGGAACAAAACCATATTATTTTTGATAACGATATCGAAGAAAGAAATGGACGACAAAGGAAAACAACCATATAATGTGGATCTGTCCTAAGACCTACATCCATGACATACAAAACTCCGAAGGGCTACATTTGCATTATTCTCACTTTGTTGTATACAATATGACAATCATTGACAGCAAATTGGTAGTACATCATGACAATGTGTTGATATGTTTCGTACTAATTGATTTGATTATTAGTTGATCTAAAGGTTAGGCTTATTGTCTCAGCCAAACATTTGATGATAGTGGTTCAAGAGCTAAATTATGTTGACTAATTTAAAACATTTTATTTATCATATTTTGGCAACTCGTGAACTTGGGGGATAGATATTTATCACGCTCATAATGTCACATGATCTAGATGCCACAGAAAAATAATGTCTCTTGATTCAGATTAGATTTTCAAATTTCTACTTTGATTTCTCTCTAGAGTATGTTATATGGTAACAAATTTCTTCTTCAGGCGACCAGGTGGAGATCGGATTTATGGTGTCTTTGATAATCAACTACCAGCTGCTTTGAAAAAGCTCCCATTGGATCGTCATCTTTCTTCCAATAATGTCAGAAAAGTGGTTTCAGAGGCAGATGGTTATCAGCCACATTTGGTAGCGCCTGAACAAGGATACAGAAGACTAATTGATGGGTCTCTAGGCTTTTTCAAGGGCCCAGCCGAAGCTTCTGTTGATGCTGTAATATTCATAATTTCTATTTAATATATTTGAATTTTACCGATCTTATTATGCCAATATATGGATTTCTCTATGATTAGAGTTATATACAAACATATTGGATCCTTTTAGATGATATGTTTACCAATCCTTGTATCTTCTTTATCTTGAATGTCAGGGATATGCATAATCACGATGAGGATAATGTCCCCATGATTTTGTCAATTTCTATGCTCAATTAGGCCGTTTAACATAGTAGATTCTTATGTTTTTTTTAATTTGTCAATAATTAAGTGCTTTTTCATTGTTATTTAAGTCTACATGGTTGTTTCATACTGAAAATTAATCTCCACCTTTTACCAGATTTTTCATATAACTAAGAATATCATAACTGTTGCTCTATAGAATCTTTTGGTAGTGGATTGAAGATTATTAAGTTACAATCTCGGCCTTAAGCTGAATAATGGTAGGGTGCTGTTGTCCATGTGGCAGTTAGAGAGACCAATTCTACTGACCAGAAAAAGTAGGTTTCATATTAGGTTTGGAGAGGCAAGCTGGAAGATCGAGCTTTTGGTGACAGACTATCCTTAGGTAATTTCTAAATGAGACTCATTCAATTAAAAGAAGGGAGATCAAAAGTCTTACAATTGACAAGAGTTCTACAGACTTTCAGGCATCCATACATATGGAAGCTGACTTGGAGTTAGTTTCTTTGCAAGCATACTATAGAGGTAGAATTGAGTTGCAAAGTTTAAGAAGCTCTAAGTGAGTCGCTGGGGATTGGACTTCTAATGGATGGGACTTTCTCTGATTCTAGTGTACTAAGATATTAGAATTGCACACTGTTTAACTAGTAGATGTGCTCATACCATAAGTAACTTCAACTGGAGGTATGATGGAGTTATATTAACTGACTTACTACTCCAATAATTTCAGATCAATTCATCTATATTACATCTATATGTTGTCATTTATTGTACTCCAGAGATGGGGGGGAAAAAGGTGTCACTACTCAATTAGCTTTTGAGGTTGGGATAGAGAAGTGGAGTTAAAACTGTGTCTGCATTTCAATTGACTTATTAACAGTTATGGGAAGGTGTTAGAAGCCTGCTTTGTAAAGTTGTTTTCCAGAAGAAAGAAATCTTCTGTGTTCTGTGTGTTTAGTGTGCAGAAAGATAAAGACTACATTTTGATCAGTGGATACTTCTTTGAAGTAGGGAAGTTGGACACCATTGTGTGTAGGTTTGTCCTTTTCTTGTGAAGATTCGTAGAATTCAGAATATTAAAGGTAATGATGGCAAAGTGTAAAAACCAATCTTTCTCTTTCATGTGTTGAGAATAATTGCTTATTACACGTTTTGTAGTGGTGACTTAGAGCATGAGCCTTCCTGTCATTAATTGCTTACCTTTTAAGTGACCTGGATACTTCTACACCTTCTAGGTAACCCAGACGCTTTTATTAAAGCTGTGTCTGTCTCAGATACAAATACATCTTCAACAAAGTTAAACTTAAATCTTGGTAATTTTAGAAGTGAGATAAAGTAAGGTTTTTTTCAGAGGAAGAGATGCTGTATCAAAGTAAACTATCAAATGAAAACCTAATTCCACACGATATAGGTATTACTTTTGTGGTTGTCCTTCAACAAGATCACCTCTAGTTCAAGTGTTTGTGTGAAGAAATTCTTCTGTTGGTATGCTGGAAAGTACTGAGGTTTTTTCAGCAGGACTTCAATGGATATGAACCATTTGATCTTTTCATTCTCTTAACAAGACCTATGGTGTACGGAATTATTTTTATTTCTCTGTAGGGGAACTAAGTAACTGAAATCACAGTAGCCATCTTAAAGAAAAAGAAAGAAAAAAGCTTATAATTTGTGACCTGATTGGCCGACTGGGAACAGGATAACTTTGGTTGAGCATCCTATGTTGTGTCATCTGTTGGGATTTATGCAAGTGGCTTTCCATTGTTTGATGATGTTAAGATGCTTTTCCTCCTCCAAGACATGTCAATGCTGGTGGTTATTGTGAGTTTGTCACCTCATCTCATGGTGATCCCAGATATGAAGAAGTTGAACTCGTGGAGAACGTATTTATCAGATGTAGATGACAGCCAAAATGTACTTTTTGTTGTACTCTCTGTCTTATTTAAAACAACCACTGCAAAACAGGTAGTTTGTTTACTACCATTCTCATCATTGATTTAGTTTACATTTTGTCCTCTTCTTCAGGTACACTTCGTTCTAAAAGAACTTGTGAGGAAATCCATAGCAGAAACGCAGGTAAACAATCCTAAACCATAGGAAACTTGTTGCAAAAAGTGAAGTATGTTAGTGGCATCATATTAGTCTTCACTGAGTTGCTTGTGTATATTGCCCTAGCAATGGGGTCAATTCTATTTAGTTTATTATCTTCTACTTTTTGAAATGAAATAGATAAATTGTATTAAGGGAGATGAATGATACTGGAATTCAATGTGATTTGGATATTGCCTTACTTCCATGGCACACAGCCTAAAAAGCTAGATCTTGTTTATTAGCTTCTCTGAAGTACTGAAAGGCAGCAAATCCCTATTTATGGGGTAAAGATAGTGCAAGAGGATGAATTATGATTGAAATTTTGATGGATTGAGTGACTCATGAAATTGAACCCGTGATTCACAAACTCATGAAGAACTCACATTTAATGCATATTTTTTTGTATTTCTCCAATTTTCATGAGCTACCAACCTACCACAATTATCGGATTCTTCATTCCCTTTCATAAGAAATTCCAGTATCAGAAAGGAGTTTTTGAAAGTCAAATTAGTTCTACTTGGTGCTAAGTGGACTTGGATATGTGTCTGCTGTGTATGAAAGATATAAGCTGCCTAATCATAGAACGGAGACATGGCAAAATTTTCAAACATTTTAGTTTTTCAATAATTTGGAAACTAAGTTATTTAATGCATAGTCATCTAACGTGCTTATCCCGTTATTAGTCTTTGTGTTCATTTTTAGGATGTCTGAAACATAAGACCATTTTAAAAGTCAACCTATTTAGTTTATAGTCTCCCATTTTTATCTTTCTTCTCTAACATAGGAAAATAGCATACCAAGAAAAATTCTAAGATTTTGTGCAGTAATAGTGAGAAGTAAGCCTTACTACTCCATGCAAATCCCAAAAGGTACAATTAAAATGGGGCAGAGTGAGTATAGATGATTGGTTACAAAATCATCTTGGAATTTCAGAAAAGTAGAATCTGTGATTTTTCTTGACTTTCCTCAAAGTGAATTGCTAGTACTTGTCCATATACTAGCATGCCACTATATTTGAATGTATAAGAGAAGTTTTTCACACATTTTGAAGGTTCCATGTGGTATGTGTGATTTTTTCATAATAAATTTAGCAAATAATGCAAGCATTAAGAATGTCCAGAGAATAAATAAGAAAGACTATTTGGACAGGGCTCAATCTCGTTATGGCAGTATTAAAATTGATCTCAATGACCAATCCAGTCTTATTTAATTTCAAGAGTTTGCCTTCTCATTCCTTTTCCTTTCCACTTTGTTTCTCTCTCTTTCTTTCGGCCATTTATCCCTTCCTTGTTAACGATATAGGTTAGATCCATACTCAGTCCACCCCCATTATCATCGTTTACTTGGATTGAACTGTGTAAGTAGCTTATAATAAAGCAATATAAACTAAAGAAAAGTTAAATGAATGTCAAAAAGATGTCTCTGAAATGGAAAATGGAGCATTGTTCCACTAAAATGTCAAGGAATCGTAACTAGATTAGTAGAATCGGGGATGTGATAATATTTTTTGCATAAGTGTATACCTGTGACTTTTTGGTGGGGCCAATGTCAATTGGTAAACCAAAAGTATGAAACAAAAACTTCCTCCATTATCACAAGTGAAAGTGTAGAGTAAGTTAGCTCCTACTTGCCTATTGCTGGACAATGTTGGATGCAAATGTCTGTCAGGAAGGTATGGAAGTATAGGGTTGATCTACAATACCAAAGGCCAACTGGTTGAGGAATCATGTGTTGTTTCAGTACCATTGCCATTTATCATAGGTAATTCAAGCAATATCATGGATCCCTTCCCCTCATGTATAATAAATCAGAAGGTAAAGAGAAATAAATTAAATTTATCTGTAATAAAAGTTGACATGCACTCTCCATTATCTTGGTTCATTTCCTCTAGAGAGGCCCAAGTATGCTGTCAGTTAGAGCTAAGTCTTTTTCTGACAGTAACTGTGTGATTTTAAAGATTACTGGCACAGTGTCATACTTTCTACTTGTTAGACACGTACACTCATGCCTTGTGGTGTACTGTGTACATAATTATCTTAATTCCCATTAAACACCACTTCATGAGTAATGCAGGAATTGAAGCGATTCCCATCACTTCAATCTGATATAGCAGCAGCTGCAAATGACTCACTGGAAAGATTTCGTGACGACAGCCGGAAAACAGTTTTACGGCTGGTGGAGATGGAGTCTTCTTACCTGACTGTAGAATTTTTCAGGAAGCTTCAACTTGAGCCAGAGAAGAATTCTAACCCATCTGGTCCAAATGCGGATCGATATTCAGATAACCATCTGAGGAGGATAGGTATGTAGTTTAGTTTGCTTTGTGCCTTTTTCACCAGATATACTGTTTAAGATCCATTCTTTAGCAATTGGCACATGTAAAGTTAAAAGCCTCTGGAATGATACCTCTATCCTACATGTCTCTGTTCAATTTGTGCTCAACATTTTCTCTTTTGTGTGAACAAAGATTATCTAATGTACTGTGATAAGAGTGTTAAAACCCAATTATGTTCTGAAATATGTCATTACTTTTTGAGAAGCACTGAGGAAAATTACACTGCATACACTGTAAAGTGCACAAAGGGGAAAATGAAATTTTCATTTCTCACGCATGTCGCTTGATTCATATCAGGATCAAATGTCTCTGCTTATGTTGGTATGGTTTGCGACACTCTGAGGAGTTCAATTCCCAAGGCTGTTGTTTATTGTCAAGTTCTTCAGGCCAAGAAAGCATTGCTCAACCAGTTCTATGCTCAAGTTGGCAGAAGGGAGGTAAAATATCTTCAATCTTACTCTTTACATGTGCACATATACATACTCTTTCTTATGCATTAGGTCCCTAGGAACATGGAATGGATTTTTGGCATATATGAGGTTTTTTGGTTGGCCATATATGAGTTACTTATTCCAGTACAGACGATTTTCTCGAATATAAAATACAACTGAGTGTTTGACAGTGACACTGACTGAAGACTTGCTGGGAATTTAGTACGTTTCTCCCTCTCCTTAAGCTCTTCCTTTGCTTCAAAATCTATGTGACTACTGTGTATCACTTTGCATAGCCTGTTGTTTTATGGAATAAGCCCTCACACTTATCGAATCTCTTTAACGTGGTGCTAGTTCTGTTGACGGTATCACAGCTTTGACTCATCAATCGTTGGATACCTTTTTACGTGGCTGATTTCTCATAGAATTAACAAATATGATATCCTCCAAGTATTGTAGCTGTGCTCACATCCATTACCATCATCTCAGTTAAAGGTTTAAGACACAAAATCCACTCAAGCAGATCTCCATGGAGATTTTTTTCATCTTTAAATCAAAATAGGTTAAAAATCTTGGAAATGTCAAAATTGGATACGTTCTTAGATTGTTTTTCAGAATTAAGGACTTGGGGTTTAACTTCTGAATGACAGACAAGATTCAACATTTTCTCACTCATAGATATCTAATGAATTATTTCTCCCGCTAGAGTTGTATCAGTTAAAGATATAGCAGTAGTCTAGTTTATTAGGGTTTTATTAATTTTTTTTTATTTTTTTGTCTTTATTGTAATTTTCATTGACTATATATACGGGGTTTTACACTTAATTTGTATCCCCTTTTTTCTCTCTTCTAAATATTTCAGAGCCAGACCTAACCCTACCCCAAACCCTAACCTTCTCCTCCCTAACCTAGCCTCCACCGAGATTGCCTCACCGGCAAACTGCCTTCAAGCAAAACCAGCAACCCACCGTTACTGCCCAGCAACCCACAGCCTGCCTGCCCACCAACCAACATGCGTGACTGCCCATAAAGCACCGACCGACTATACTCAAAACCATAAAGCACAGATCAAATACCAAAATAATACCCACCGATAGACCAAAATCAAAAAACCATCCACCGACTGAAACCAAAACCAGAAACATCATCCACCGACTGAACATACAACCCCAATCGCAGACTGAACCCCAGCGAACCAAAACCAAAAAAAAAAAACCGACTGAACCCCACCGACTACCTACTGCCCAGCGAAACTCCACCGACTCCATATAAACGCCACCAACAACCTGCTGCCCAGCGAAAACACCAGCCCAAACCTAGAAACCGACAGCCACAACACACCGACACCGATAGCCTCACCCAATGCCCAACCCACTGCTGGGCAAAATCACAGACTACCTCTTCGCTGATAAACCCAAGTCCTATTAAATAAACCCAAGTCAGTAAATTGAACCCCAACCCAGACCACCCTAGAGAGTCATATTAAATCAACTCTGATTATTTGGGATCGTAGGACTTTTTAAGAGGGGTTGCATCCTCTTCTTCTCCGTTGATATGCTCTTGATGCAATAGATCATATATTTATGTTTATTGAATTTCTGGGCATCGTGACCTGATTATTTGGGAGTTTTCTGGACCTTCTTTATCTGTCGCTGCTGTTCGACTGGAGGTATACTGTTCTTCCTTATTTTATCCCTCTATTTATCTTAGAGTTGTTTTTCTGTCACGGGTGCCTTAGTATTATTGTTGATATGACTATTACTGAGGGACTTGAGACCCCTACTGTTGACACCTCTACCGTTGAGACATTTATGGATACTTCCACTTTTATATTTGACCAGTATACAGTACCTACTGGCACAATTGCATTACCAGCACTGCCAGACATGATCTCTCAGAAAGTTACGGCACAGTTGTTGAATGGTCGTAACTTCGCTGAGTGGTCTCGCTCATTCCAGTTTTTCTTAGGTCGTGTAGGGAAGCTTGGTTAGTTGACGGAATCTCATCCAAAGCCAGCTGATGCCGACCCTAGATATTCTGCGTGGTTCTCTGAGAACTGCGCTATTCTTGGATAGTTATTTGGCTCGATGGAGCCATCTATTTATAGGATTCACCAATTTCATAGCTCTGTTCCGAAGCTATGGAGTGCATTATCAGAGATGTATTCCCAATCAAGACGGGGAGTATGTGTTTATGAGCTTTCTCAGGAGTTCTCATATGCTCGGCAGGGAGATATGACTGTTCAGGATTATTATGGTTATTTGACCTAGCGTTGGCTTGAGTATGAGACTCTACGTCCTCTCGCTACTATTCCGAGGATAGAGCCCAAAGGAGCAGCATTCTTGCATACTCGAGAACAAGAGGATAGGATTCACAAGTTCCGTATGGGGCTTCGTGATGAGTTTGAGGGACCTCGTTCCCAGATCTTATCGATGTTGACGCTTCCTTCTGTTTATGAGGTGTATGCGATGATTGAGCAGCATGAGCGCCGCGTCCGTATTAGATCACTTCCAATTGCGGCTTTGACTGATCCAACTGATCATATGACCCTTGCAACAGCTGCAGGGTCTCGTTCGAGATCCTTAGTCAGGGGTGGGCAGCGCCCGGACCAGCTCCGTCAGGGTGCCCCAGATCAACATAGACAGGGGGATTCTCGTCAGTGTGATTATTGTGGCCGACCATGACATCTCAGGGCTGCTTGTTGGAAGCTCCATCCGGAGCTTAAGCCCCCTCCTCGTGGCCGTACTGCTGCTATTGCTAAGGTTGAGGTTCCCCCACCGACTACTGGTACTACTGCTACTGCTCCTCCTCAGCAGAGTGATATGGATGTTATCACTTCCCGATTAGATATACTTATGTCCACTCTGACTTCTCAGCGTCCGACTATTGCGACTGCCACTACTACAGGTATACCTCATGCCTTTCATGCTTGTGCTAGTCTGTCCCCTCTTTGGATGCTGGACTCAGGTGCGAATGGTCACATGACATGTGAGACCCATTATTTCACCACTTTTGACGAGCAGTTACATACATAGGTTCAGCTAGCAGATGGGACACATGCCCCTATTGTTAGGAGGGGTAAAGTTCGCCTCCCAGATGACTTTACATTACGTTGGTATTTCATGTGCCAAAGTTGGCCATAAATGTATTATTTGTACATCAGTTAGCCAGAGATTTTCATTGTACAGTTGTGTTCTTATCTGATTCGTGTTATTTGCAAGACCTGAGTACCAGGAGGATTATTATCAAGGGACATGAGAGAGATGGACTGTATTATCAAGGCGATCCACCTCCAATTTCACCAGTTCTTTCACCTCCATCATCAGCTCCTGCTTTGTCTTTATCTATTTCTAGCTTGCATGCTAGTATTTTACCTAGTACTTGTCATTATGATTTTTCGTCACAAATTGTTCAGTTGTGGCATGATCGTTTTGGACATACAAATTTTAAATATTTATGTATGTTGTTTCCTACTTTAAGCAATGCTTGTATTGGTGGTAAACTTGATTGTGTTATATGTTCCCTATCGAAACATGTTAGGATCAGTTATATTTCTCACATGCACCAGTCACCCAAGTCATTTGACCTAATACAATCTGATATTTGAGGACCCTCTTCTGTTACTGCTCTGTCAGGTGCTCGATACTATGTGACATTTATAGATGATCATACGTGTTGTACTTGGGTTTACCTTTTGCATAGGAAGTCTGATGTACTCCCTGTCATCACTCAATTTCTTCAAATGATTAAGACACAATTCGATGTCATTGTTCGTGCTCTTCGTTCGGATAATGCCAAAGAATATGTGTCTGATGCCTTAGTGTCTCACCTTTCTTCCCAGGGTATCCTTCAGCAACTCACTTGTCCATATACTCTTGAGCAAAATGGAGTTACTGAAAGGAAAAATAGGAGTCTGATAGGGATGGTACGTTGTATGTTTAGAGGTACGGGGTTACCAAAATCTTATTGGCATTTTGCTGTTTTGACTTCTACCTTTTTGTGTAATCGTACACCGAATCGTGTTCTTCAGCATAGGGCTCCCTTACAGGTCTTATTCCCTGAGTGAACACTTTTTTCGGTCCCCCCTCGTGTTTTTGGTTGCACATGTTTTGTTCAGGATCGGTTCCCTACTCGTCATAAGCTTGATGATAAAGCGATTCGTTGTGTCTTTGTAGGCTATTGTCATCAATCTAAGGGGTATCAGTGTTATGATCCCATCAGGCATCATATGTATCATAGTCTAGATGTTACATTTCTTGAGCATATTCCTTACTTTTCTTCCAATCTTGTGTCTTCCCCTCCGGTTGATGATACTCCCTTCAATTTTTCATTACCACAGGAACCAGAACCATTGGTCACTACTATCACTACAAAGTCATCAGTCTCTCTTCCTCCAGAATCACTCATCCCTGTTCGTACAGAGTCATCAGTCTCTCTTCCTTTGCAGGTTTATATTTGTCAACCTCGCTCTCATCCCCCTGTTGATGTCCCCTCTACCTCGGGCGATGTAGGTAATACTTCTCAGTTCGTTGAGCAGATTGATGCACCTGTTGTTAGTACTGACGAGATTGTAGGTACTGAGCCAACTAATTTACCTGATGAGACACTGTCAGTGGAGGATGATGATTTAGGACGTTGTTATCCACGGCGTGATCGTCGTCCAGTTGATTGTTATGGTTGGACCGCTAGGATTTTATATTCGATCTCTGCTTATGTTTCTTATGGTGATTTATCTCCTATATTTCGAGCTTATAGCATGACCTTATCAGATACGTCGGTTCCTCGCTTTGTTTCAGAGGCTATGTAGGAGCCCCAGTGGGTTCTTGCCATACAGACAGAGATGAACGCTCTTCAGCGTAATCATATATGGGATTTTCTCTCCTTACCTTCAGGGGTGAAGCCTATTGGCTGTCGCTAGGTTTACACCTTGAAGTTTCTTACAGATGATACTATTGATCGTCATAAGACTAGGCTTGTGGCGAAAGGTTTTACTCAGGTACCAGGTCGTGATTTTGGTGCTATATTTGCCCCCGTGACAAAATTGACTACTGTTCGGTTGATTATTTCTCTGGTTGTGGAGTACTTTTGGCCTCTTCATCAGTTAGATATGAAGAATGTGTTTCTTCACGGTGATCTGGATGAGATTATTTATATGGATGCACCACCGGGCTTTCATGGTGAGGAGGAGTATGCTGGAAAGGTATGTCGATTGCGTAAGTCTCTTTATGGACTGAAACAGTTGCCACGAGCCTGGTTCTCTCGCTTTAGTGATGTAGTCGTACGATTGGGGTTCACCAGATGTCATTTTAATCATACCTGCTTTATTCGACAAAATACTTTTGGACAGTGTGTCATCCTTCTGGTATATGTTGATGATATTATTATTACTGGTGATAATGTTTCTGGGACTGCGCAGGTCAAGGTAGACCTTGGGAAGGCCTTCAATGTGAAGGACCTTGGATTTCTGCGATACTTTCTTGGGATTGAGGTTGCCCGTAGTAGCAAGGGTGTTCTTTCTTAGAGAAAATATGTTTTGGATCTTCTTTCAGATACTGGGGTGCAAACCGGCATCATCACCCATGATTCCAAACCTGAAGTATACTGCTGAAGGTGAGGAGTTGAGAGATCCGACAGTTTATCAGAGGTTGGTAGGTAGACTTATCTACTTAGCCAACACTAGGCCGGA